ACGATCAATAAATGCTATCAAATGGAATTTTTAAATGATCTCGATAAGTGCACACATGCATTTATTTGAAATTTCATTACGTAATTTTGTTTTTGTTTTTATTCGAACTTACCGTCATTTCTTCCAATACTTTAGGATTTCTGTAGTTCAAATCGGGTTGTTGTTCTGTAAATTGATGTAAATACCATTGGCGCCTAATTTCGCTGTACTTCCATGCTGAATATTTAAAGACACTTATCTACGTAAGAAAAAGGAAAAAAAATAATATTGGCAGCATCGTTATCCACAACCACCATAAACCAATTGAACTGGTTATTACGGTATCTCTAAAAAAATAAAATAAACCATTAATATTATATTACAACCGTGCCTTTTTCAGAAATATTTTGGATGGGATAAAAATTAAAAGAACAAAATGTTTTCAATTCTTCATAACCAGCCCTATGATTATTATCTAGTGGGTGATACTTATTTAGAGAATATGCAGACCCAAGTGTTGTCGTTAATTATTTTTAAGATATTTGACTGTGGGTAGTTTTGTTATAACGGCACCGTGAAAATCGAAAAGGGACATTTTTTAGAATCTCAAAATTCGACTTAAGATAAAAATTAAAAAAAAAACAAATGTGACGTAACCGAAGACGTTAAACAACTACAGGCCTCATATTTGTTTTATAATTTGATTTGCTGTCCGTTGTCATTTCCCACTTCGCTTTAAATATGACAGATGGCTTATTATTCTGCAACAATTATTTAAATAGATGTTTTTGTAATCACATTCAGCCCCCACGTCTTCAGAAAAGACGGTAACAGTTCTACGTTAAAAGTTAAAGGACCACATGCTGTGCCGAAGCTAATTGTTTAGATATTTAAGGCACTACACAATTGATGATAAAACTTATGAAGTTAACGGTTTCTGTATTTTACCCTAGATTTGCCTTAGAGGAGTCTAATATATCGTCAAGAAATACTTCAATATTTAAGTGCTGTAATTTTATAACTCACCCCTCAATTCTTTCTGATGTGATACTTGAAACTAAAACTTCGAGTTGACTGGTCAAATTGGGAAAATGACCGGTAAGATTGACTGTAGCTGACGAACTGCCCGTGTTCAAGACTACCACAATTCCATCACTTCTATTTGAAATTCTTGTGAATGCCATAACGTAATCTGCAACAGCAGCCATTTCAAAATTACCTCTTCGGAATGGGGATTCCTTTCGAAGGGCAGTGAGTTTTTTGTAAACTTTGTAATGGCTATTTCTATCTGTAGTTCTTTGATTTTCAAGATTGCATTCTAAATATTTTCTGCTAACTGGTAGCCACGTTTCGGCTCCAATATTGAAACCTGCATTGGTAGAATTATCCCAATGGTAAGGTGTTCTCGCGAAATCTCTGCTTGTAGTGTTAAAGGATTCTTCATCGCCATTGCAAGCACTAGGATCTTGACCTTCTTGCCATGTTACTTCACCATTTTCCATGCCAATCTCTTCCCCGTTATATGTAACAGCAACTCCAGGTAGAAGCAAGTTCAACATGTTAAACGCATCAATATTGTCTTTACCAAAGCGAGTCGCAGCTCTTATTTGATCATGATTTCCGAGCTTGAAATTGAAGATTTCGTTATTAATTTATCTATTAAAAGGGAATGTTTCGTCCATTTCCTTACTTCCCAGTTTGGTACATAATCTCCTCTTGGCATATTGTTTAACCAATTATTTACAACATTTATAATGTCAGAAGCCGAGGAACCTTCAGAAATACCAAAGAGTTGAAAATTAAATGGAAAATGTGCACCATTTCTTGAACCATCGGTATAGTACAACATGGTCATAGGTAAAGCCGACGAACTTTCTACCATCATAATTCTTTAAGTAGAAGAACGTATACGTTTTTTATTAGAAAAATCGAAATTTATAATTATCTGCTTACTATAAGACCAGAGTTCATTAAGATCAGGATTTACGGTAACATGAGCACATCAGGCTTTAATAAAAAAATAATTATAAGCAATCTGTTCAGAGACTCTTGTTAATCGTTAGTCTAACGTTATGATTTACTAATCTTCACGCATTATATAGGCACATCGACGACAAAAGATAGTATAATATCTAAAAATGTTATAGACGAATGATGAGGATAACGTGGGTAGAAAAGATTAGAAATGAAGAGGTATTAGAAAGAATAGGAGAACAGAGGACTCTATGGAAGTCAAAAAGAAACAGGGGAGAAGGTTAGTAGGACACCTTCTCAGACATGAAGGTCTAGTCAGAGACATATTAGAGGCAGAAATAGGAGTTAGGAGGGGTAGAGGTAGACCTAGGTTAGATTACTGTTCGCAAATAGTTAAGGATGTGGGTGTAGTTTTAGGGAAATGAGAAGTTTAGCTCAGGATGGGAAAGAGTGGAGGTACGTGTCCAAGCAGTCTTAGGACTGATGACCTTATGATGATGATGATGATGATAATATCTAAGACAAATTTTTAACTGTCAGTTTATAAATTCGAGGCGCTCATGCTGCTAAATTTATTGCCACAGGAAACTGCGGTACTTTTAGAGTCAAACCTGGGGGTCACTAAGTTACTAGTTACGCCACTGAATATGAACTGAACGTATTAAAAAAATTACATTTTGTTATTGATATCTGAAGGTCGCTCAAAAACATCAGAAGTGCAAACTGATTCGAGTTGGAATTTTTAGATATATTTTCATACTGAACCGATAAAAGACATGGTTTTTTGTACCACTTAATATATATATATAACCTTGCATCTCCTCCTTTGTTCTGTGTGTAGTTGTCAAGTACTTCTCTCCAATAGTAAATTACTTGATAAGTTTCATTTAAATCTTTCGTACAATTGTGAATTAAGTAATCGTATTCAAATGCTTGAACTCCTTCATAACCTGATAGCGGTTCATCTCGAAATTGCTCATCTTCGTACATATGTGGAATAGCGTCAACTCTAAATCCATCCACACCTCTATCCAACCAAAATTTAATGACATTCTAAAATCAAGTTTCTTTTAGACCCGATTTGGAAAATATTTGAAGAACGGTAATCATTTATTAGATGTTCATTGTTTTGACAAGTCTCGGTAATTATACCATAACAAACGAATTGTTAGTGATAATGAAAGATAATAATAAGTAAATGTAAACTAAAAACCAAAACATTAAATAGTTTCAATTCATGATATACAAAGTTAAAATAGGAGCAAACATAAAGAAGTATTATTATGTATTGGAAAAGGAAAAAATGGAAATTCAGCAATTATTGTAATTATTTGCAGTACCAATGGGGGGAGGGGGTTATTGGGTTAACCCGTCCATCCCCGATATTAAAAGAATATCCTAGGCAAGAAGTGATAACACCATAATAGAAACAAGTGGTAGTGAAGGATCTATTTACAGATGAGAAAGTTACTATAAGTCTAAAAATTTATTTTTAGAAATATGTAGAGGGTAGTGACAGCAAAGAATAGTAATTTTGTAAGAAAAATGGTTTATAGTAAGGGTTTGAACCTAGCAATAATGCCTGTTTGGACGATTGGAAATAGTGGAGAGGTATTTTGACCAGACTGCATAACAAAAAAAACGGTTTATCTAATTGAAAACAGACACGCTAATGTGTCGTAACAATTTTATACACAATATGTACACACATTTTATGAAGAAAAAATTACTCCAGTTTATATACAAAACTAAACATAATTAAATTAAAAATTATCCCCCCCGCCCCCGAACGAAAATTCTACGTACGCCCCTGGTAAACAGAGATTATAATTGCTATCAAATGGAATTTTTAAATGATCTCGATAAGTGCACACATGCATTTATTTGAAATTTCATTACGTAATTTTGTTTTTGTTTTTATTCGAACTTACCGTCATTTCTTCCAATACTTTAGGATTTCTGTAGTTCAAATCGGGTTGTTGTTCTGTAAATTGATGTAAATACCATTGGCGCCTAATTTCGCTGTACTTCCATGCTGAATATTTAAAGACACTTATCTACGTAAGAAAAAGGAAAAAAAATAATATTGGCAGCATCGTTATCCACAACCACCAGTTATCTATTTACGCTTTTTTAAATAAATAACAAAATAATTGTGTTTTGAGTTCTGTAAACATTAATATTTCAACTCACCCAATTGTTTGGGGGTGTAGTAGAACTTTCTCCATCCCTCCACACGTAATAATCTTCATAACCTGTTGTTCTATTCTCAGATAATTTGAACCAATCATGCTGATCGCTTGAGTGATTAGGTACGAGATCCATTATAATTTTTATATCTAATTCGTGCGAAGCAGTAACCAGTTCATCAAAATCTTCCAAAGTTCCGAATGTTTCCCAAACGTCGACAAAATTACTGATATCGTATCCATCATCCACCTGAGGTGAAGCGTATATAGGTGAAATCCATGCTGCATTAACGCCCGCATCTGCAAGATGGGGAAGTTTGCTTATAATCCCTCTCAAGTCTCCATAGCCGTCATTGTTGGCGTCATTAAAAGATTTTGGGTAAATCTGGTAGATGACCGCTGTTCTCCACCAATCCCAGTTTATTTCACTACTTTGAGAATTAGATGATCCCAGTAAAAAACTAATTACGAACAAAATTATCTCTCCGAAGCAAGTAGGTATCTTCATAGTGACATCAAATAAATAAATGCGGAATTGGTAACGGTGAGATTGATTAATGTTAGTTTTATTGAGATAATCGGATATTTATTGATCGCTGCCCAACGATAACACAACATTATACTCTGAACCTGATGATGCATTTACCCACAATGAGCTATTATTACATAGATAATGTAAGCACAATGGCGTAAAGTCCATTTGGATTTCAATATTTTAACGGAAGTTTTATTAACTAGCACAATAAAATAGACAAAATTACATGTTTTCCACGCACGACATAACTGAAAGAATCTTGGATACGTTTATTGCTATCATGAATGAAATCATCAATAACATTATGATGTCACTTTCCAGTTAGATGTTTATTTATAAAGTTTGATTGTAATTCTTAAAATGACTATTCAAATGAAACTCATTGTTTTTAATGTCTGAGTTTCTACTTCTGAAAAACGTAAATCATGTAACTATTTCAATAACAATTACAATAAAATTTTAAGTTCACGCCAGAAGAAACGTACGTAAACATAAATAAGCTTTATTGGTATGTACTTAATTCAAAAAAGCTTCAAAGAATACAAAATTATATTTTTAGTATTTCTTTTCTTATTATTTATAATTAAATAGTCATTAATATGCGATAAATNAATTACATTTTAAAATAGGTCAAGAATTAGTCAAATATCCAAATCAAAGTTGGTCAACTTTGTCGCCCACTGAAGGAAAACTAACCATATGGAATCGAAAAGCGCCCCATTTAAATACTATTCTGGAACACCCCTTTCATTTATTTCTGCAATAGTCTTAGGTGGCCATCTCGAAGAGAAAATTTGTATCAGAGTTTTTCTTCTTTTACGATTACAATGGAGTAACGGAAAAACAAAAATTTACGTCTGAAACGAATCATCTTTATGCATGATTATCATATGTATACATACTTGATTTTAAATCTTATTATTATACTAACGAGAAATAGTCAAAACGTTATCAATTTTTCAAATGGTATTAATTTTTGCAAACATACCAATCTGATTCGTGTTTTTTACCTGCGCAAGAGGTAACGACGGTATCTTTAAAACTTTTCATTCAAGCCGTCGTGTTCGGAAAATTGAATTTTTATGAGAATTGTAGGCTAACAAGAACAAAGCTCCGGATTTTTCCTTCGTGCTTCGTCTACGCAATTGAGAAAATATCTTGAGGCAGCGACAAGAGAAGAGCAAACCAAAATAAACAATGACTTTGCATCGCATATTTTCCATTATTAAAGGGAACAGGGTTGTTGTAGGTAGGTAGAGTATCTACACAAGAGGGGACATTTTTCTTTCGTTTTAGTATATGTATCTAGAGATAATGGAGCCGTTTTATTTGTTTTTTTAATTACGGCAGTACAAAAAATAGCAACTATTGATAAAATAATACAAACATTATAACGGTTTTATAGCAAAACGACTATGTGAATATTTATTTTAATTTTTATCATCTAAAAAAGGTATCTTTTACATCACATCAGTTAAATTAATTGCTATGATAAAATAATTAAACTTTTATTAAATAATCTTGTTTTCTATATTTTATGCATAAAGGATAACTGCTTACGATACGTTATCAAATTATCAGGGAACCAACCGACTATAGCTTGTCACATAATTTATTACTTACCTATTTTATAGAACCTTTTAGGAAAACTGAAATAATATATTTATTAGCCTACCTATATCATTTTAAAGATAATTTTATCTTGCGATGACTTAGCGGTTTATTTATTAGTTGTTTATTTCACGCTTATAAAATATGAAACAAGTAAAATTGAATCTTCCTGTATATCTTACCTGTACATAACGATAAAAGTATCACCTTCTTACACATCTGCGTACTTTTATAAAGATAATATTAGAATTGCATAAAGTGGTTATCGGATTATTGTCATTTATATCTTATAATATTTAGTATAACATTATCTTGATAAACATATGTGTATTTAAAAATTGCATTGGGACAATAATTGAGTAGGTACTAACATTTCTTTTTTAATATCATTTTTTGAATTCATTTAGACTTGATCATTATACGGTTTTCAATCCTCAGACTGGTTGAACACGCACCTCCACACTTTCCTATCCTGAGCTAATCTTCACATTTACCTAAAACTAGAACATCCAATTGAATTGTCTTTTACCTGCATATTTTGTATAACCAAAGGTTTATTATCAATCAATGAGACGATTAAAACCGTTGAAAAAGTCAACTAATACTTTGGTAAAATAAAAATAGAAGTTTTGAGTGGGGGTTGTGCCCTCAGGTAGTTCACTGATGTGATTATCATCCGATTAAGAGCTTAGGTTTATAGACGTATTGAAAAAAAAATTATAATTTCCGAGGTTTCTAAGAAGAAATCCACAGCTAAACTGGATGACTGCATTTACAGTTTTATTTTTTTAATAGATATCAATTTAAAATACATAAATGGGATTCTTTGGTAGTCCTTTCTTTAACGCTGTTAAATTGACATATGACAATAACCCAAAGTTGAAAGGACCAAGACGAAGACAAGCGAAGTCGACGGTAATAATATATGTATATAATAAGGGTAAGGACTAAAGTACGGACTACGTAATGCGTTATAAGCGGACAACGGACGGTGACATGAATTATGCATGTCGCAGATGTGGAATACGTGTAACATTGGCGTCCGTCGATCCCACCCCCGGCTAAGTTACCCTTGTCTAAGCATCGTCAGATCATACAACATTCCCACCTCAAACTTGAAACCAGATTCATCATTAACATTTTCTTTAGGATGGAAATTACGGTTAGGGATTCTATTCCTAACTAACAATAAGGATAAAATAATTCGAATAAAATAATACGTAATCCTAAAATGTAGCATCGTACTACAGATGGCGCTCACTGTGCCATTTGTAGTATTTTCTATAACAATAAGGAATTTATGTTTTATAAAATTTATATTTCCTTGGGTGGGTCGCTTTTCTATTCCATGGCTAGTTTTCCCGCGAAAGGGGTCGTCAAAGTTGACCAAACTTTTATTCACTTTTAAACAACCGAATAACCCCCCCCCCCAGACGTTCCAGGCGACATTAAGTTCCAATAAAAAGTCGTTTAAACACTAAACTAATGAAATGATAATTCTTGAGGGTTGAGTTGAAACCGTTGAAACGAGGCTATAATGTTTATAAACTCTAAAGCCTGCAAAGTGACAAAATCATACTAATATTAAAATTTTCGTCAATCAAAACCTGATATACCAACAAGCGTTAGAAATTGTAACAGTTGGGTGATACTAATGTATTCTACTAAAAAATAATTTAGTATTGTAATCAATAAATAATACAAATTAGGATAAACGATCTATCCCAATACAATCTTAATTGCCAATTTTCACTAGGTAGATTTGTTATTCAATATTTCTCACTAAAGTACATGACGTTTTCCAATTTTTAATTACATTTTAAAATAGGTCAAGAATTAGTCAAATATCCAAATCAAAGTTGGTCAACTTTGTCGCCCACTGAAGGAAAACTAACCATATGGAATCGAAAAGCGCCCCATTTAAATACTATTCTGGAACACCCCTTTCATTTATTTCTGCAATAGTCTTAGGTGGCCATCTCGAAGAGAAAATTTGTATCAGAGTTTTTCTTCTTTTACGATTACAATGGAGTAACGGAAAAACAAAAATTTACGTCTGAAACGAATCATCTTTATGCATGATTATCATATGTATACATACTTGATTTTAAATCTTATTATTATACTAACGAGAAATAGTCAAAACGTTATCAATTTTTCAAATGGTATTAATTTTTGCAAACATACCAATCTGATTCGTGTTTTTTACCTGCGCAAGAGGTAACGACGGTATCTTTAAAACTTTTCATTCAAGCCGTCGTGTTCGGAAAATTGAATTTTTATGAGAATTGTAGGCTAACAAGAACAAAGCTCCGGATTTTTCCTTCGTGCTTCGTCTACGCAATTGAGAAAATATCTTGAGGCAGCGACAAGAGAAGAGCAAACCAAAATAAACAATGACTTTGCATCGCATATTTTCCATTATTAAAGGGAACAGGGTTGTTGTAGGTAGGTAGAGTATCTACACAAGAGGGGACATTTTTCTTTCGTTTTAGTATATGTATCTAGAGATAATGGAGCCGTTTTATTTGTTTTTTTAATTACGGCAGTACAAAAAATAGCAACTATTGATAAAATAATACAAACATTATAACGGTTTTATAGCAAAACGACTATGTGAATATTTATTTTAATTTTTATCATCTATAAATTACTTCAAGTTAGTTAGGAAAAATTTTTGCTGCTGTAACTCCTTCGCCGGGAATCGAACCCGGGATCTTTAGCTCTGACCACTAAGCTACGAAAAGCTGTAGTTGCAAGAACGACGAAACATGTCTGCCAAAAGGTATAATCAATATATTTCCTTTTTACAATTAATACATTTAACTTAAGATAAGATAATTATCACAAATTTTCTGTATTTGTCAACATTACATGACTCTAAAATAAAATTCTGTAATTTAATGCATTCGGTGACTTCTGATAATTCGAACATTCTGTACGCCATATTATTTCCTGTTCTTCCACATTCTTATACGAAATATCCTTGGAGGCAATGTCTCGTTAAAATGGCCCTGTAAGCCGTTGGTATGGGTCCCTAGAGAGAAAGAGTCGGGATGGTTAGGCTATGGACGCCATAAAACTAAAAACCTTCGTGCATTACACCTGTGAACTGTTTTCTGTACCCCCTTGCCAATTCAACAAATCAATATTTTCACTTAAAAACATAAATTTGAAGTTTAAACGCCACTTAGAATTCATAAATTTCTCAAAAGAAATAAGTAGCGTCAATTAATAAATAAATAAATTGAAATTGTACTATTTAAATTTCCTATCTACATATCTCATTTCAAAAATCAAACACATCAGTATAATTTATTTTATATTTTATCTTTAAATTAATCTGAAATTGTTTGGATAATATTTCCTTGTTCAGAATTTTGTTATTAAGTTAAGTTTGTTATTTAATATAAAAAGCATTAACAGGATTTGATATTATCAAATCATTTTTCAAATTTATTCAGGTGGTTGTTGATCTCCTAAACCTTGTAATCGTTATTTGATTTATTAAAACTAGTTTTGTCGATAAAACAAACAACTGATAAGCTGTTTATTAAAATATATTTTCCATTGTACGTCAAAAAAGGCAATGTTTACAATGTGATATCAGTATCAGCTATATTAAAAATATGTTAATTTCCGGGAATACCGAGAATATTTGAACAGATCATTTTTATTAATTAATCTAATATTTGTATTCAGGGATATTAGTCATTTTTGAAGGCAATTGGCAACCGTAAGAATTTTTTTCTTAATTTTTTATTTGTATGAAATTTCATTTCAATAAAAAACAACACAGCGGTACTCGTTGCAAAAGTTATTGGACTGGTAGTTGTTTTTTTACGAATGAATCCCAAATGAATTGCTCAGTTTTATACATATTTTTGGATTATAAATGTATATGTAGTATATATCTAAAGAACTAAAACAATTTGGTGGAACCTCTGATAGTTCTCTTCAGGGCCTAAAGATGGTAACCAGGTAGTTTTACCGAAAAGTACTTCTAGTATTTTTCAATTATTTAGTGTGCTCTCTAAATACAATCTATAAATGAAGTCAATCTTAAAATTATCAGAAGTATGTTGCAGGGAATACTAACTCAAAGTTTTTTAATAATTGCGAAGTTGACGTGTAACAGAAAAGTGTTTATAAGTACTTGTTTCTATAATGATTAGCTATTATTGTATTATTGAGTTTTATAAACGTACATTATATGTGCTTTACAGAAATATAGGAAGTCAATAAAGTTTAAAAATTGAATTAGGCATAGTACGACGACTTTCAATTTTCGTCTATATCATTCAGAGATCAAACATTCGCGTTGACAGAATTCATATAAGAAACAAACAGGTCAAATCCCTCGGCCCCAGAACAATATTCTCGTTTGCGCTTTTGCGACCCATTCAATTAACTTTCTTTTGGAACATGTCGATTTCATGGTCGAATCTCGAAGGAAGTTTAAAATAAAGCAATATTTCATTCAGTACGCATTCAGTATTCAATTTGTTTAACACCTAGATATTAGTACTAATTTAAATTTGCAACTAAAGCTTTCTCGTTCTTTAACATTGAGTGAAGTCGTTTTTTTTTTATTGAACGTTAGAAATATGAAACAAGGCTATTGCTAATTTTTCTATTTTCTATTCTTACGCGTATCTAGTAAGTACTTAATTTTAATGTACCTAAACATTAGTTGTTTCACCAAAGTTAAATTTACGTAAGAAGGATTTTCTTTCCATATAATTTAGAAAAAAGAATGCTCTATATTTCAATATAGTATCATTACAGTTATTTAATCTATGTTCACATCCCATGTTGTTTTGGTCTAAGGTAGATGACGTACAAAAAGGAAAGACCGCAATATCCCTAGGGAACCGTCGTAACAAAATTACTTTCTTTCCAATCTCTCCACCTGAATTTTAGAGGAGGTCGTATTTCACACAGAACATCAATACCCATCCCTTAAACACATATCCTTAACTCTACCAATATTAAGGATTAATCCCCTTACGCTTACAAATCGAAATTTTTTTAATACACAATAAAACAATCACGAACATATATAACCCTTGGTAAAAATAAAATTCATAATTAAAGAAAAAGAAAATTGACTTATCGCTTTTTATGAAATTATTTGAATTCCGATTGAATTGAAATCCTGTTGTTATATTACATCGTAATTGTATATATATTTTAATTAAAAAAAAGCAGTAATAACTACATCCTACATAATTTTATCGAGTAAAAGACTTGAATATTTATAATTTTAATAGGTTACATTAAAATGTGTATTACTATATCGGTAGTTATTTCTTTTTTAAATTCTGTATTTATTTTCATTAACGAAATAGATTGCACTTACGATTTTTCGAATTAGTTATTCACATATATTAATCTATTATGTTTAAAATCGATAATTAACTAGTAATTATCTAGTCAATTCTGAATTCTATAGGAGTAAAAGAGAATTGTGCTGTAATGTTTCAACGGGGAGGGGGTATCGCTTAGCTTAATGAGATATGACAAGGGTGAGGGGGTTAAGGAAATGTGACGTTCATAACACTTTTACTTTTTTTATCTTCTTTGCAGCTCTTAAAATTTTTCATTAATAGAAAGTCATTCTCATTGCTATTTTTAATCACTTAATAAATCATTTATAAGGGGAGTGGGCTAGCTTTTGTGACGTAATATTTGCTACGGTATGTGTGACTTAGCGTGGAGATAAGAGGGAGGGGTCTGAAAAGGTGAATTTCTATGTGATATTTTTATGGACTGTCCCATAATAAAATTAACCAACCGCATAATCATTGCAGGCTACTTTACGTGTTTACCTACTTCACTTTTCATAATTTAGCAATTTAATTATTTGTTCTCATACCCAAAATTTGTATTTAAAACATAAAAAAAAACAAAGAGATAGGATATATAAAATTTATTAACTTAATCATACTGCACATAAACGAGTACAAATCAATAATCTACAAGAGGTCTCCTGTTATTCTCTTCATTTCTTCGTGAACCATCATTCCTGTAGTCACCTCTTCTAAGATCATCACTTCTACTGTAACTTTCACCTTTCCTAGGTTCATCGCACCTTCTATAATCGTCTCTTCGTTGTTCATCTCTCTTGTAGTTTTCCCGTTTGTACTCTTCTTTTTTAGCGTCGCTCCTTCTTCTGCTCCTTTGTTCTTTTTCCTGGTCTGAACCAGAGTTACTATCCCTCTGACGCCGTTTCGGTGAGCTTTTTCTACTCGATCTTTCCTTGATATCCTGACCCTTGCCACTACTTCTGCGGTCTCTAGGACTGTTGCTTCGACTTCTTTGTTGGACACTTCTATTCGATGAACGACTTTTCTTACCATCCGAATCAGATGAAGTGTCGGAACTATTATGACTATCGTAGGCGTGACGAATTTCCCTTTGTCTGTAAAAATGCATACTAATTAAGTCAATTTACTGGCGGTTATTAACTGCTTCATTTTAACCTTCTTCTCAATCTTATGGCCATTTCTCTCAATTCGTCCTCCCTATGCTGTTGCTCTTGCTTCTCACGTTCTGACTTTATCTGTTCTGCCAATTTATCTGCCTTAACTATAACAAAAATTGAATTAGTTAATTTACTATTAAATATATTAATAATTTTTTTAAATGTGAAAGTAGTTTCCTTCTTGAAGTTCAGAAATTATTTTATTTTTATACTTACATTGTTTATTTAGTAGAGCCTGTCGTTTTCTTTTAAGGCGTTCTTGAAGACTTAAAACAGGAGCTGCGGCAGTTTTCTAAAAGAACGTTTCACCTGTTAACATTCTTAAAAAGCAATTAAAAGCAACAACTATAAAATATAACGTTCACGAAGTTTCATTTGTTCTTAATACAATAATAGAAAAGACCTCTTTTTGTCAATGCGAAACATATTTATGTATGAACTATTCATTCATATTCCATCATTTTTCTTTATTGCCCTGTATTGTATTGATTTTATAATCAATGAAAATGAAAAATCTGAAAATATCAAGTGGTTCTTACTGACTTTGAACGATGATCCAGCATTACCATATCCCGGACGATTATCGTTGGAAAACCTAAAACAAACAAAATATTTTAGATTAATTTTACTGCAATTAATAGTTAACCTACGAATTCGGAGTAGATTTATTTTCGGAAGTATCCATATCGCTGGCTTCATCTAGGTCAGAAGAAGAGCTCTGATCGCTTCTCTTTCTTCCGTAATACCTTGGTAATACTTTTGGTGGAGTATCCTTTTTTATCGGATTATTTTCTTCAGTGCTTTTCCTTAACACCGAACAAGATGAACTTGACTTTGACGAATCAGACTTTGAACTTCGTGAACTTCTTGAACGAGATCTCGACTTGCTTGATGACCTCTTCGTTTCACTTCTAGATTTCAATTTGTTACTATACGATTTAGACCTATCAGACGAAGATGAAGTCGAACGAGATTTTCGGGAACGATACTTTTTCTTGCGGTCGCTTAGACGATAACGATCATTTCTATATCTATAAAAATAGATACATCATAAATATAGATTGAGAACTAATTTAAGTTATACTTAAGGTCATGAAATAGTTATTTGATACAATACTTTTCCTTCGAAATGCTTCGTCTCTTTAATTTTGAATTTCTAGAATCAACACTCCGTGATCTTCTTCGTCTAAAACGGGAATTACATTCTGAACTACTGCTTCTTCGCCTCCTTCTATCTGATATTCTATAATCAGGACTATTACGTCGACCAGCTGACGATTTTCCTTTTCGTCCATACTTCACTTTATCAGCATAGGTTGGCTTGCTTGTGCTGGGTGGATCATCTTCACCTTTACATGAATTGATAATTTTAAATTTCAAAAACACAAACAGGTGTGCACATTTGCTTTTTTGCAAACTTTGTAAAAATGTTACCTCCAAATGATGTTATATACGTTATTTTTCCTGTATTTTCTGGAGAAGGTGAATGTGAAGGCGATTTACTTTCTCTAAATGAAGGATATGTTGGTGAAGTACGAGCAGCATAACTGGGTGGGCTTATTACCCTATTAGCGAGACGTCTTTCTCTGTGAGCTCTAAATAGTTTTATAATTAGATGTAGCAAATAAAAGGTATGTTGTCATAACTGTAAAAATGATATAGAGTATTAGATTCGGACCTTCTTTCGCGTCTAGATTTTCGCCCAGAAAAAAGGGCTTTCTCATGTTCTTCTTCTCGTGCTAACCGATTACTTTCAGCCTCTTCCATATCGTTAGTCAGAAATGAATAAAAATCATTTGAACTCATGCCATATCCTAAACCATGCTTGTTCATTTCATGAGCTTGTTGTTGATCTATTTTGGAAACATTTATGTACAAATCAACGTCCAAGTCGCTGTCTGAATTTTCTTCTTCACTTTCTTCAAGGGGAGGAACTGATTGAGTAGGAGCTGTAAGCCCAACATTAAATATTATTATCAATTAGATTAGAAATATGAACATTAATTACCTGTTCCTTCTTCATAATTAAACCCTATTGATACTCCTCCACTCTTCTTCTTTTTTGATTCAGGTTCAGTATATCCAAACTGTTCTTCTAACTGAAGCTGCTTTAAGAACTTTTCTTCTTGTATTCCTAGAAAACTGTTTTGAGCAATAACTCTGTATCTTTCATAATTTACTTGACGTTCTTCATATGTTAACTCATCAACATCTTCCTGTTTTTTTACTAGAGGTATATAGTCTAAGTGAGCACGAACATCAAATCTATCAATTAAATTATCAGCTTGACCCTGCCAAGGCATCCTAAAATTAGGCTTGATGGTAAAAACAGGACTTGTCTTGAATGTAAATATGTTTTTGTATTAAGTTAATTACACACATAGCTGCAGGACTGTCAGCAGCAGCAGCTACATTTGGATCCAAATGAATTTTACACTGACGCCCATGAACTTGCATAAACTGAGTAGGGTCAGCTTTCTGCAAGATAAAATTTTACTGATTACGGAATTCAATAAATGAAACACTTACAATTTTTTCATAGAAATCACGACGCCTTTCAGCTCGTCTTCTGTAATCAACCAACATCCCCCGAATTTTACGCTCTTGACGCCTTGCTTCGTGCCACATACCGACAAAGTGGAATTACAAGATATCAATGTTGTAGTTTTCACTTAAGTCATTTGATTTGATCAATCTGTTAATCACTTGTGATAATCACTAAGAATTAAAAGCTCATTACTTAATTTATCACTAATAAATAACAATAAATTATCCCAATCACTTTACATATGCATAACTTGACGTCTGGCTGTCAAGAACATGGTTATGGATTTTGCCTTGTGACTCTATGAACCTTTATGGTTTTTATATTATACCAATAGATAAAAGGTTTCCGGTAGAATGTAGAATAAATAATTAGTTGATTATACCAAGTACATTCCATAATTTAATTTACGTTAATTTTTATATTAACAAACGGTTTAAGCCACTAATTTTTTTATTAACTTACATAATTCATAGCTGTCGCCTGTTTTTACCCTTTATTTATACATAGCATTTATTTTTCATTCACTTATATTTTTTTTCTCTTACATATATATATCACATAATATATTATTACAAAAATACTTTATTAAATAATATTTCATACATAAATAATATACTATTACATCGGTACAATTTTTAATTCGTGCCTTAAAATTTTTCCACTTGGATTTCTTGGAATAGTATCTAAAAATTTAACACCTCCAGCTAATTTTTTATAACGAGCAACCTTTGAGTTTACGAACTCTAAAACATCTTGTTCCTTTAAATGACTATTGGGTTTCTTTACAACAAAAGCTCTAGGAACTTCACCAGCTAAGGCATCTGGTATTCCAACAACGGCTACGTCCAAAACTCCAGGTATTTCCAAAATAACATTTTCTAATTCTGTTGGTGATACCTAAAAATAATTTACCTTGACAGTATTCTGTTTATTGTGTACAAAAAGATGTTAGTCATTTTGTAATCTTGATGACGTTTTATTTTAGAAATAATCCAGAGTGCGTTGGCTAGAAGTGTGGGAACAAAATTACGCTATTATGGACTTTGATGTTGATTATGGCGTTCAAAGTATTTTAGCGCATGTGCATTTTGTTGTTATGGTGTAGTTATGTTAGGAGACCGATTGTAGGGCGCATTATAATACATTTTAAATAAAAATTAAATTAAAATATTATAAAAATTGGAAATATGGATAATCCTGAAGAAATTTTACATAGTTTAGAAGAATTTTCAAAATTGAAACCGAAAGACATTCCTCGAGAATTAGAAGAGTATCTCTCCTTTGTGGCAAAAACAGGTGATCCAGTATACCAATGGGGTACAATTAAAAGCTTATTTCGTGAAAAGTTAATAAATGTGACTAGTGAATTATATGAATCTTGCCCATCGATGGAAATTCCCCCCTGTCCAAACGTTGAAGTGTTCAACTATGAAAAAATGAAGAATTTCATTCTAGAAAAGTTAGACACCTTCGTTGCAGCACCTTTCACTGTCCAGAGAATTTGTGAACTTCTAACAAGTCCTAGGAAAGAATATAACAGAATCGACAAGTATATGCGTGCTCTTGAAAAAAATATACTAGTTGTAAGTACAATTGAGCCAGGTAATCGTAGAACAGAAAATGGAGAAGGTATTGTTAATGGGATAGAGTCTGACCATCGTCGAGAAAATCAAACTAGCAATGATATTAATGTGGAAGATATAGAAATGGAAGAAACTCCATGGCCTAAGATGTCACAATCTAGTGAGTCGAGTTACCAAGAAACCGAAGTGAAGCTGCCACAAATTGAGGCAATACATTCTTTAGTTGAAGAGGGACAAAGTAGTGTAGAAGTGAAAATGACCGAAGTCACTTGTACAGAAAATTCCATGGGGGATAAGACAATGAGTCAGCGTCAGTTGTTTGTTTCAATTGAGCCTATAAATTCTGAGAATTGTCTGAGAGAAGACAGTTTTCAAGAAACATCAGTGACCATAACTGCAGTTCCAGCACCAGTTCAAAAAAGAAGAGACAGCATTGAACCTATTGAGCAAGTTGAGGAAGAAATTTCATCATCAGATTCACAAAAACTGCAAGAAGGTGAAGTAAGTCTCATTTTATTTATTCTTAATTATTAATTGAGAAAAAGGAAGATCAAAAAGTAAAATAACAGACCTAAATCAAATAATATGTATAGAAATTACATTTATTGAAATTTCAGTTGATTTTTTGATAAGGAAGTGTTTGTTTGCCTATTGAATAATTTCTAAGATAAATGAGGTTTTTCATGAAGAGCTCTTCGGATATTATCTCATAACATTTTTATTTAACTACAAATTATGTTCTCTACATTTCAGGTTTCAATACCAAGTTCTACCTCAACAACTTCTGATGACAAGCAATATTCAGAAATTGTACATTCAGTTTCTAATGTTAAAGATTCTGATTCAACTGCAGACACTTCTGAAAACATTCATATAGAAAGTATTGACCCTTCAAAGGACCTATTTCCAGCCAGGTCAGAAAATGAAAACACTACTACCTCCACCGTTGAGCAAATAACTCTTTCTATCACTGATGAGGATAAAAAGAATGATGTAAGCAGTCCCATTAAAGATTTAAACGAATACCAAGAGGAAACTTCCCAGATTAGTGATAGCATTTCAAGAGACTTGGAATTTGTCATTTCAGAAGAATCTTCTACAGATGCAACCACTGATGTAAATGAATGCATTAAAAATGACAATGATATTATTGGAGGCAGCGAAGAAAGCTCGGTAAAAAACCCACTGGAAGAGCTACCTTTTCAACCGGATAAAAGAGAAGTAACATCTTCAGAATTAGATAATGTTCCAACTGTAACACAAACCTCCATAGAACCAATAGATGAGGGGTGCAAATTTAATTTGACACCAGGGAGCAATGCTTCTGATGATATTATTGGATCAGTAAGTTATGAAGAAATTAAAGATCATAACAAAGAAGAAAAATTAAATAATGAATTGGAACCTGCAAATACAGTTTCTAAGGATGAAAACATTATTCTGACTGAACAGCAGCCCTAAATAACCAAACGGTAAAGGTTTGACAAATTCCCTTATCGAAAACAAAAAATAAAAGAGAGCATAAGCCCATTTTGGTGTTCAGTGTGTTTTTAAATAGATTTAAATGGAATTATTTCTGTGATTGGTACCTACAATTATTTAAAAAATTATAACATTAAAAGAGTATTATGTCCCATAACAATTATACAATCCTACATTAATTTTTGAATCGCGTTTTATTGAAATATTCTTTGCATACCATTTTGTTTTTATGCCAAATCTGGGGTTATTTGCTACTTCCCTAAGCCTTAATCACTGTGTACTTACCATAAAAACGTAATTTAATGAAATAAAATATAATGTAACTTTCTGCTTATTAAGTAAAAGTCAATTAATAAAACTTACTTATCTTCTTAATTTGTAATTAAATTATAGCGATACTTCAAAAACATTCGTTATTTTTTATTCGAAAATGCTTGCTGTATTTTTAGTGAGATTAGAAAATAATTTAGGTTTATTTAAATAAATTCATAATAACATGTGACTGCTTATAATCAATCTTCATATTCATACTTATTGCTAGTAGAGAAGTTAAAACTGGTTATGTGTATTTTTGTAATCTTGTAGTGAAAATTATGGTATAATTCTAAACAATTATCAATTTTTTAATTCCTCATTTTAAGAATTGCACGTTTTTGGAAATTACACAGAAAATATACTTTTTTTGAAAAANATGTAGTCTTCAGGGGTAAATCGGGGTAATGTAACCAAATGAATACCCTCTTTCAAACAAACATTTAATATTCCATTAAATCCATAAATGTGGAAAAACGGTAAAACTGTCATAGCAACATCTCAATTTAAAGTGTTGTATAGATAAATAAATAAAACACTTGGTTTAATTTCACTTATATGTTAGAAATTACTGTAACAAATGCTTCGGTGGTTTCACTATTTTCATAGATTTAGCTTAAACTAAAGGTGCATTAATTTGATCTTAAATTTTATTTGTAGTTTTTCTATTGTAAAGCTTTAAATACAGAGAAACTCCAAATTTATGATGGATAAATTTTTTATAGTGGCTTGGTTTATTTCTAAAATTTCAAAAATAGTAATAAATTGAGCCATCATAAACCATATACCCATTGCGGATGATGAGTTTCTCCTGTATTACAATTTTACAATAAACAATACCATAAATAGATTTAAAAATAAATGTGTATCTTAAGTTTAAGTAACTACTAATTGAAACTAAACCAAGTGCTTTATTTATTTATATCTACTCAAATGTTTATTATGTTATTATTATTTTTTTTTATTACATCCTTAACTTCAAACCGTTAGTAATAACTGCCGATCGATCTAATTTATTATTAATTCTCTTTCTCACGAAAAACCATATCAATTTTTGTATGCATTTTTTTTGTTTTAATTTAATTAATGTTTAATTTCGTATTGAATTTGTCAAACCCATTCCACTTATTAGACATACATACATACACGTATATATTTTTACGAATAATTCTAAATACATTATCTATTTTCAAGTAGTGTTAGTTGTATTTATTTGTTACTAATAATTAATAAATGTGTTCAAAGAATTATAGGCAAAAAGTATACTTTAACGCATAAAAACATGTATGATTTTTACATTAATAAAGTTTAGTTGATCTCAAGATTATTGTTTCTGTTAATTGTTAAATTATGTTAATACTATGTAACTGCGTGTAGTTAGCTTTTTTTGGTAAAGATACAGTTTAATTAAAACTAGTATCGCATGTGGTATACTCTCTCATGGATACTCGACCAATTTATTTTACCTTATAAGAAAAAGGCCCGCGTGGCAGGGGTGCATTAATTATAAATTCATTTAAATTGAATACCTACTTTAATGGCGAAATGCACAAACTATTTTTATTTTTTGCATATCTGTGAAACAGTAGGTACCTGTCTAATATGTTTCATCACTATTCCCCCCTCCCCCCCCCTTTATAATAAATATCGAAAAAACTAAGGTGTTCATATAGATAATAATAATTTACAAATGTTAAGAAAATTCACTTTTGTCTTACAATCAGTGCACTGATATATTTTTGACAATCGTGAGATGAGTTTGTTTTAATACATTCGGAGGGACAAGCTTCAATGTTATTTAACAAATATTTATACCTAGCGAGCAAATTTCGAAAATATTGTTACTGAAAATGGACTTTGTAGCCGTACAATTGTGTACCAGACATAGGTAGATAATTATTATGCGAGTAGATACTACATTTTACAACAAACAATATTTTTTTATAACGGCACGCCTTAAAAATTTTTGCAAATCATTTTCTATCTTGTCGTATATAAATAAGTAATAATATCAAATTCTACTACCAAGAAATTTCGGCAATAAGCATTAGTAGATAGTACTTATACAAATCTTAATATATTTATTTGCTTTTCGCGTTTCTTAATGTTTTTAAAAGGGGAAATTAATAGAAAGTAAGCACAATTTTCGCTTTTTTTATTGTTTTACTTTAATCATTCAAATTACTGCCTAAAGTATAAGCATATTGATATCCATTTTTCAATTAATTAACTTTTGTGAAATAATACCGAGATATTAATGTAATTTACGCTAATATCGTATAATAAAAAGGTCGTTTAATAATTTATAATTAATTTATTATATTATATTTCAATACGTGTCTCGTAATGTTTAATTTAAATTGTGATTTATAATTATCGGATGTTTCAGTATATGTGTTTTGTATTTAAAAAGTTACCATTTTACTAATAATGAGAACTAGAATTGGAAAACTACGGTTGAAAAATTAAAATGAAAATCGTGTGTACCATTTTCAGTAGGTAAATAAGTAAAAATCGAAAAAAACATTTGTAAGACGTATGAGACGCATATCCTATAAATAGTAGGATTTGGCTCATTAGAAAGCCAGAAAATGCCAAAAAGTTTTCAACATTTAACGTTCATATCTTTTCCACCACTTTGTAATAAGTTTCCATATGTGATAAGTATTGCGCTTACCATTTAACAGTTTTAATATTTATATTACACTTACCTGATTTCCTTTTACTTTAATGAGTTCTTTACATCGATCTACAATGAAGAAGTAACCATCTTCATCATAATAAGCAATATCACCTGTATGTAACCAGCCATCTTCGTCTACTGTTTCTGCGGTCGCTTTTTCATTATTTAAGTATCCAGACATCACCTAAAATCAGAATTTTCAAAAAGAAATGATAACGGAATTTTCGGAAAAAGAAGCTTACTTGAGGTCCTCTTATCAATAATTCTCCAGGGTTGTTAGGTCCTAGCGTTTCTTCTGTTTCAACGTTTATTACTTTAGCTTCCGTACCAGGATACAGAAGGCCCGCAGTGCCAATTTTAGATTTTGGAGCATCCACTGGAATAAGAAGACTAACGGGAGAACTTTCGGTCATTCCGTACCCTGGAATAAAATTATTTGGTTAAACAAAAATTAAAAATATAGGTAATGAGTGTGATGCTTGTTTCTCTCAGAATCAATTTCATTTTGCTAATTTTAAACAACAATAGAGAGTAAAAATAGAAAACGTGATAATCAAGGGTAGATTTTTACCTTGCCTTACAATGACATCATCGCGACCTAATTTCTCCTTGAATTTGTAAATAAGTCCTTCAGTAGCTGGAGCTGCACCTGACATGATGTTCTTTATGGATGAAAGATGTTCTCTGGTAACAGCGGGATTCGATGCTAAGAATAATAATAAAGAGGGAACTACAAACAAATTTTGTGGGCGATATTTGACCAATGCTTTGATGTAGTCTTCAGGGGTAAATCGGGGTAATGTAACCAAATGAATACCCTCTTTCAAACAAACATTTAATATTCCATTAAATCCATAAATGTGGAAAAACGGTAAAACTGTCATAGCAACATCTTGCTTATTTGGCAATTTTTCTAATCCTAATAATGAGGGATGTTCACCCTGGGCTAAATTAGCAACTAAGTTGTAATGGGACAGCATAACTCCTTTTGGCAGTCCCGTAGTTCCACTGGAATATGGGAGCAAAGCTATTTCTTGCGGATTTATTCCTGGTAAATCTGATTCGTGACCTGCTTCCAATAAACTTTGAAACCCCTGAACGTTCTTTGATAAATCATCTTCTCCGCCTATGCAGACGGTTGTCTTATAATCTGGTAATTGTTTTCCAACATTTGTTGCGACTTCCAGGAGAAGAGGTATTGTTATTATCATTTTTACACCTGCATTTTGAAACTGCCTTTTGACTTCATCTGGAAACACGCATCAAAAAACTTTTTGAATCTAAAGGAATTATCTCGGATTATAGTAAAAAAGTTATAGTTATATATCTTTCTGTATTACAACAAGTCTTTTTAAATTTTGTACATTCGTACCTGGAGTATATAGAGGATTTACAAAAGTCACTGTTAATCCTGCTTCCATCGATCCGTGACTGGCAATTACATATTCAGGAATATTAGGTAATAATAATCCCACAACTTCTCCAGGTTTCATGCCACAATGGCCCAATAAAGCTTGAGCAAATCTGTTTATTAGCAATCTCATCATACCAAACGTATAACTCCTTCCTGATGCGGCGCATGTCTTGAAAATTTTAGGGAATTAAATTTTTTAATATTCCATGCAGCAGTAAATTAAAGGTTTTTTTTTTAAAGAATTTTGATTTAGATGTTATTTTTCTAATGAAGTGATTTTCGTAGAGATGTGCAAAATGGTTTTTTAAAAGTACTTAGATTTGTTATTTAAAATATAAAATACAAAATAGATTTCCCTTATGTATTTTAAATGCTATATGCAAAATACGTATTTTCAAAATACATTTTTCAAATAAATACTTTTTGTAGTACCTATTTAAATTTCTACATTCACCTAACTATAAAAGATTTTTTAAGAAAATTGCAGGCATTTCCTCATTTTTTTAGTTTATCTAGACCAATAGTGGTGTTTGCACTATATCACCAGCTACGAAGATTGAGTATGATTCATATTTTTTTGTTTGAAGTGATTGAGATGTAGTTTTCTCTTTATGTTATGGTTTCTTCAGTTCAGCAACAAATAATTCTTCTATTTGCTTCCTTATTTACCCTTGTCACCCGTTTTAATTGGAAAAAAGGCACGCCAAAATAGTTTGTTTACTGTGAAAGATCAGAGCGAAAGTAGGGCTGCAAATAATTTGATTAATGTAAAATCCGCATCAATCATTTTTTTTTTCAAAATATTGACAACTCCATTTTGCTTCCGATTACACATTGTAATAGGAGAAAGAAATGGAATCCATAGTTTCTTTAGCTTTGGGTTCATCTAATAAGTGAATTTTTTCGAATCGTTTTCTAAGAATTTTGGATTATACGCATTTATTAGCATACCACAAAAGGTACGATAAGTGGTGATTTAGCAGGTGCTGATATCAATTTGGAACTTCAAAATTCCATGGACCATGACATTGAACCCGGAAAACAATATCGATCCAATATTTTAGATTATCCAATCTCAAGGAGTTTAGAATTTTTTGAGCTCTCTTCAGTTAAAGAATTAGAAGGCATTTATGGAATGTCTCTTTGCCCCC